CTGATTATACCCCGAGTAGGCATCCATGGAGCTTAACAACTTGTGCCTGAAAGTGACATCAACGAGCTGATCGATTCTAGGCAAAGGAAAATTGTCCTTCAAACAAGCTTGTTGAGATCTGTGAAATCAACACAAGTTCACCACTTACTGTTGGGTTTCCACACCAAAACAGGATTGGCAACCCAACTCGGGTAATGAGCCTTCCGAATGAATCTAATTAAGAGAAACTTATCTACCTTAACCTTAAGAGCAACATAATGCTCCTAGTCCATGGCTCTTTTTTTTCTGGCAAACTGGTTTGATCTCATTGTCGATATTGAGTGTATGATGTATTACATTCAGGTTGATCCTGATCATGTCAGCATGATGTCAGCATGAGTCCATGCAAAAACATTTATATTCTGCTTGAGGAAGCTCGTTAGATCAGTAGCGAGCTTAGGGTTGAGATTGCTTCCGATTCTCAACACATGAGTCGACTCATTCTAGTCAACTGATATCTTAGATAAAGTCTCAATAGGCCCATTGTGGGAATAATCCTCCTGAAGACAAGGATCAATATTGTCTTTTACTGGATTAGGTTATGGCTCGATCATATTGATCGTCATTGCCTGCTCGAGAACGCCTATTAGCTTCATTTTCCCTTTGAATGTCATCTACACTACTCTTACATAGCAGTCACGAGATTCACGTTGAGACCCTTTGACCTCCCCACACCTTGTCGAAATGGAAATTTTATCTTCAGATGATAGATGAAGGTGACAGCTTTAAAGTTCCGTAATAAAGGTTGTCCCAATATGCCAGTAAAAGCGGACGGACAGTTTATCATCAGAAACTCTGTCATCTTAGTCACTTCGTGGGTTTCACCCAAAGTGACTGGAAGTGCAATCGTTCCTTTGGGAATCAGATGATCCCCAGTAAAGCCATAGAGGGGGATAAAGGCATGCTTCAGATCTGTCTCTTCCAATTGTCTTTTCTCAAATACGCGCTGAAACAAGATGTTCACGGCACTCCCATTATCCACCAACATTCTGTGGACTTCGCATCGTCTTATTTCAGTTGCAATGACGAGTGCATCCTCATAAGGGTGGTGCAATCGTACTGCGTCTTTCTCTGAGAATGTAATCTCCTCTTCTCTGTGCATCTTAGCAGGTCGCGGCATCATGTTTAATACACTCACGAGCTCATGATGAGCTTCTCAAGAGTATTTTTTCTGAGCACCTCGAGAATTTCCCACGAGGTGTAGTCTTCCAAATATAATCCCCACAAAATAGAGACCCTTGTGACCACCGACCGCGGCGTTTCTTCTCATTGTCCACTTGATCCTTCTCCCGAGTGGGAGTGAGACCATCAACGTACTCATTGAATTGCCCATTTTTAATGAGGTCTTCAATAGCTTGCTTAAGAGCTCAGTATTCATCGGTATGGTGCCCATTATCCCGATGATAATGGCAATACTTCATGTTGTTTCTTATAAAAGGGGGATTTTTCATAGACTCTGGCTCTTCAAGCAGATTAGCTTCTTCTGATTAATCCAGAATAGCTGATACCGATGCATTCACTAGAGTAAACAAATTCTTGTCGTGATCACGATCGCGATGAGGGACTTGGCATAAGATTTCTTAGGTTCAAACCATTGTTTCTTTCCCTTTCTCTGATTGTCATTAGCCCATTTGCGATCATGCCTTCTACTACTCTCTCCCCAGTTTTCCTCCCTCTGACTGGGAGCGCTAGTCGAAGGACCGAGGTTGTGGTGATTCAAATTAAACACTGAATTTTCAATTTTGAGATAATTCTCTATAAGGTTGTGGAAGCGAGTGAGGGAAATATCGTCCTCAGATTGCAGTTGCTTCCACAAGTCGATTTGCGGGCAAACTCCAGCAATGATGAGAGTTCGAACTGAATCTTCGAGTGTATTAGCCACCTTATTTAGCTCCTTGTGGAACCTATCAATATAGGATTGGAGGGATTCATTCCTATCCTGCCGTATGTTGCTGAGATAGCTCAATGGCATTGAGAACTTCCTATTAGCCTGAAAGTGTCTCAAGAATAACGAATTCATCTGCTGCCACGAGTTGATAGATTCTGGTGAAAGCGATCTAAACCATCGCTTAGCATGGGCAGTTAGAGTCATTGCTAAGCAGCGACATTTTGCCAAGTTGGAAACTTTGTGAAGCTCCATGGGATCGTGAAACTCATAAAGATTATCTTGTAGATCAAAATTCTCATCGAATGCTCGCATATCGAGCATTCTAAATCTTGACGGGAAATGAGCAATCAAAACTACCAGAGAAAAAGGAGATGTCTCAGCGACCTGCCCTCGCTCATTCTGTTGAGCTCTAAGCTAATTCAGGGCTTGCTATAACTTCTTCATCTGAGGAAGCGGAGCCACCTAGGGATCACTTTCCGCAATGTGGGTTCGCTCCCCATGATTGCAATTAAGGAAAGACCACAGATTAGACTCTTCCACGCCTTGGCCGGAGCCTTCGGCATACCTTAACACATGCTGGCTGGAGCCATGTGAAGGCACTAAATGGTTTGGGGAGTTATCCTGACCTCCGCCATGGTCATAATCAACTCGCGGATGGTGGGTATTTCCCTCTCGATGATATTGGGAATCTCCATGCTGAGCACTCTTGTGGGGGTGCCCCTGCAATGTGGCGTGAGACGAATCATGATGTGACATACTGCCAAGTCGCAAAGCTACAGATATTCTACATGTTTCACTACTGGTATTCACTAGCCCTTTCGAGCCTTTTGGCCCATTGTCACCCACCTGCTTTCCCTTATTCATATGCGTTGTGGTGCGCATAGTAGGAGCTTTCACCCATTTCCATGCTTTAGTGCGACCTACAGGCGTTTTTGGAGGTGACACCGCCTTACCAAAATTGGGTGGTACGACCTGATCCAAATGATCTAACCTTCGGTTGACCGTTTGGAGAGTAAAGAAAATAAAGAATGAAAGTATGAAAGAACACCAACTCAATTTCTTATGTGATCTGCCTTTCTATTGAATAAAGAAGACAAAAATAAATAGGTTACAATGGTGAGACAATTTCGTAAAGGAAAAAAATAAAAATAAATCAAGAAAATTTGACAATTAGGAATTCAATCTTCTTGTAAAAAGAAAAGAATAATTAAGAAATAAAAAACTCCTAAAAAACAAGATACAGTAGCTAATACATAACAAGGAAACAAAACAATTAAATAAACACAATCAACCGCTTGGCTTTAAACAGAGAGTATTGTTGAACCTTTCCAGATAATCCATCACAGCTGAATCGAGCTGAGAGGTTGAGGGGATGCCTACCGCGGTACCTTGGGAACTAGAGGTACTTCGGGAGAAGTAACATCCTGTAATCAGGGGGTCTCCTCATTATTGGTCCTAGTACGCTCAGTTTCAAGACCACGAGCTATTTGTTCGTAAATAGAACTGGTTGATCAGAAATTCTGAATAAAAAGCGAATATAAAATCTGGCCCTCCTTCTAGCGCCAAACTGTTGATGTGTAATTTTGACACCAATGACTCGCATGTGCAAAGTGCTAAGCTGTTCTTAGAAATTACATGTGATATGATTGATTCAAGAGTCAAGATAAGGTTAATCAATGTTATTGAATGCGAAGATTGGATAATAAATGAGAGAGATGATTTAAAGTGGTTCGGATGCTTAAAACGATTCTCACGTCCACTATTTCTTTTATATATGAGAGGTTACAAGAGGTCGCATATAGCGAACAACGAGCAGGAGTGCAATAACTGATTATTCAGAGAGAATATCAAGTCAGTCTCTTTCTCATAAGTTGTCTTTGCTATGAAAATAGAGATTAGAATCAGAATTAGAATCCTGAAAATGAGAGGGGGAGTCCTCTATTTATAGTAGCTGAATTCAAGGTAATGATTATAAATCTGCAAGTAGGTAAGTGTCATACAAGTCCTTCCTTACCTCCCATTGGCTGATAACTTAGGAAATATCCTCAAATTATCTGGGGCTTGGATAAGTGTGTGGTCCTCATTCACTTATAGATAAAACCTGAATCTACTGAGTTGATGACAACCGTATTCTTTCTGTCTTGAGGCAACGTGGCAGTTCTTGGACGGCACAAAACTTTCCTGAACTTTGACTGGTGCTTATTGATGTAAGCTTATGTCAGCTCTGATTTTTTATGCATAACAATGTCCAAAAAATATGAAGTAGATTATTAATTGAATAATTGTCCAAATTAAAAACTCTAATTTTCTTATATAAAGTAGATAGACAAGTGAGAAGACTATACAGATATACAACGATAACGAGTTAGTATCTTTTATTTTAAATAAATAATTACAAATATTATTTACTATATAACATAATTGAAGAATATCATAAACTACCTTAACCTTTTCAAACTTGCCATTTAGACAACAACTTTTGCATTTTCTATTTAATGGATCCTCAAAGTTCAGAAATTTTATAGATATACCATTTTGCCCTAACTCTCTTATATTATCATTAAGTTTATAAAATACTTTCTTTCTTATATGAGACCAAAGTTATCATTTCACTCATCTACCACAAACAGCAACATAACAAATTTAGAACATAGGGTATCAATGATATAGTTTTCAAACTATGAAGATTCATTAATAAGAGTGTAGAAATTATCGTCACAATGATAAATTTGGGAACTTTAACGATAATATACAACGCTCTACCATAACATAATATAATATTATATCGTCTTAGCGACGATAACTAATTAACCCTTAACAATAAATATTACTAACGCTTAACAATAAATTGTATTTGATATCTAACAAACCCTAGCCCTAAAAATTAATGAAGGGGGTACGTGGAGATATAAAAGAGAAACAAAAATATAATATGTAACATTATGATAATTGAGAAAACGCTAATAAAAGACCTGACAAAACGGTAGATTCATTTCTGGTAAACCATGCATTCTCGTGGATAAAGTGGGGTCTACTTATCCGCCAAAAAATTTTTTTTTTTTATCTATCTCTAATGGTAGATCTTCATCCCCAGATTGGCATACCAACAGGTGCCTCCTCCATACATGAATCAGAAAGGAAAGATTCTACCATCCGTCTTACGCTCCTTAAATTTTATCGATTATTATTCACACGATGGCGACAAAGGAAGAAATCCTCTTCATCTGATTCCACTCCGGATCATAAAAGGATTCAAGACGTAGACACTACTGCTGAACCGTCGGATATTCAATTACCTAGACATTCAAACGCCGTTTCAGAATTACCCAGGCATTCACAGGCGGCCGCCCATAAGGTACATATGTATAATATTTATATAATTATATTTCAAAACCCTGAATTTGAATAATGTTTAACCTGTTTATGCATGCATGGCATGAAAAAGAAAGCAAAGGTTACGATGGTATTGATGATTTGAATTTAATTGAATTTGCTGGAGGTTATTGAGGAAAATTCGGATCAGGAGGAAACAATGCATGGAGTCCACAGTTATAGATATAAGGTTGATCATAATCACGACCCTCCAACGAGTCCCGGTTGTTTCTTCAGACACCGTAGCGGCGATCATAGCTTTCATTTTCCTTTATCAAGAAGCAGTAGCAGAAGGAAGGACAACTCACCAACACCATCGCTGGCATCTTCTCTATTTAGGAGCGGGAGTCGGAAGAGCGGTGTGGACGAATCAACTATTAATGGGTTCCCAGCGTCTCTCTCCCGAAATGCCAGTCGGAGGAGCACCACCACCCCCATTATGTTTTCCAACTCGACAGGGTTGGTGAAGCCGCCAACTATTCAGAAGAATCTGGAGTGCACTCTTGAGGAGTTGTGTTTTGGGTGCACCAAGAAGATCAAAATCACAAGAGATGTTATCTCAGATGCCGGGTTTGTTTTTGTTTCTTTATTATTCTTTCTTCTTTCTCTAAATTGTCTGTGATTGCATCAGCAGCTTCAGGATTCTTATTAAATCACAATTTGAAAAATCTGATTATATATGTTATTTTTCTTTTAATCAAGTTAATAGTAAATAAATTAGCTTGACAATCTACAATTATAAACAAAAAGTGGGGAAGAAAGAAAATATTGGTTTGTAGTAACCTCATATATAGTTTGATTATTTGACTATTTTGGCAGGCAAGTAAATCAAGAGGAAGAGTTGCTATCAATAAAAGTGAAGCCAGGATGGAAAAAGGGAACAAAGATAACATTTGAAGGCATGGGAAATGAGGTTCCAGGATCTCTCCCAGCTGACATAACCTTTGTGATTGCAGAGAAACGGCATCATATGTTTAGGAGAGAAGGCGATGATTTGGAATTGGTAGTAGACATACCTCTAGTTAACGCGCTTACCGGTTGCGCCATTCCAATTCCTCTGCTCGGCGGGGAGAAGATGGATTTGAGTATTAATGAAATTGTTCATCCTGGTCAGGAAAAGGTCATTAAAGGACAAGGCATGCCAACGAAAGATGAAAGAACGAGGGGGGATTTGAAATTGCATTTCCTAGTCAACTTTCCAAAAGAACTAACAAATGATCAACGGTCCGATGTTCTTAGTATTTTAGAGGGTAATTGTTGATTGATTTGTCTAGTTCAGTCTTTGATTTATATATAGGAATCAAGGATTATTGTATTTATTGTGTTTTGTTTTCTTGGTGTTTAGCTCATCATGCCCACTACCTATACTCTTGTTATAAAAACATGATTATTAAACATTTATATTTTATAGGTGAAAATCCGATTTATATATACAGAAAAAGATTTACATTTGGTTTTGTACGAATCTAGCTAGCCCAGGGAAAAAACTAATGCTTTGTTGAAGAATGTTTCTATCATTTTGTAAGGCTAAGTGGTTAGCCAACTGTTAGGATATCTAAATAAGGAGGGGCATAAGTGTGGTTGTTTATCAAACAACCTCTGTTTTCTCTCCAAGAATGTTGGTGTCACACCACACATTTCGTTTGAAAAAGAAAATAAATAAACAAATTGCATGAACACACTTCAATTGCACTCACATATTCAAAACAAATCAGTCTCGGTGAAATTAAAACATACAAGTAAAAATGTAATCTGAACCGATTGAGTACATCAAAATACGCAGAGAATTACAGAGAAAGAGAACTTTACACACATTCAGAGATCTTTTTAAGCCTTAGGGAATCCGAGAAGGGCACGAATTATGCCGATTATACTACCAGACATAAGAGCCTTCATCAATCTTAGCTTCCCCTGTGTATATGGTGGATATCTCAAAGCCGCGTCACCAGCAAAACTTCTGTACAGAACTGCCTTCTTATGGCTAAAAGCATCAAAAGAAAATTTCCCATGGTACGATCCCATCCCACTCTCCTGGACTCCCCCAAATGGCAGACTGGATACTGCAAGCTGCAATGCCAAGAACATATAAGATAGATTTAAACATCATCAAAATGTTAAAATTAATTCAGGATAGTAGATGCATATACAATTGGGAACTTATGACATTATTTTCTTTTCTGTAATTCTTATTGCATCATTTCCGAAAAGTGTAAGATTCACGGTTACCAATGCCCTTTGACTTTCTAATGACATTTTCCCAGAGAATTCCGAAATTAAAAACTAAGGTCGCATAAAACCCTGACCAATGTTTCTAAATATCAATCAACCAATGTAACAAACTGCAACACAACACAATGAAGCTCTATCCTCTATTTGTGGTAATACAACTGAAAGAATATCATCATTACTATTTTGTCCACGGCAGCATCTAGTTGTTACATTAACTTAATGATGGAGGATATCATATCTTCTACATGTAACATGCATGAATGTGATAAATGCATGATGCAAGTATGTTTATGCAACTTGTCTCTAAAGTTCGAGGAAGCATAATTACATGTAAAGTAGTGTCATTGACAACCACACCCCCTGCTGAGACCATTGTCACGAATTGCTCCCTGAGCTTCTTGTTGTTGGTAAATACATATGCTGCAAGTGGCTTTGTTCCCGAGTTAATAATATCAAAGCTATCCTCTATTTTGTCAACCTGTTCCAGAAAACAGCATAAGGAATCATAATAGTTGTTGCATTGTTTCTCACTAATAAATGCATATTATTTAAACTAATATTGTTACAATCATATTAAGTGCTCTTTTGCAACTGTTGCCAGATGCAGAGAAAACTCTAGGCAGGTGTAACCATTATTTTTTTTATTTCCCCGTTCAAGTTAAAAATGGTGGTAAGAAAAGGAGCCTGAATTGAGCAGGATTTCTCTGTTTATGAGACAGCAATGTATAGCATGCAGGGAATCCAATGGGATCTCAGTTCATAGCGTGCCACCATTACTCCCATCTCCATCGGCTTGTAGTCATTCATATCACTCAAGGTACTTGCATTTTGGTAAAAATCAAATTTGGCTCATAGCCTTAAAAATGATTCCACCCATATCTAGAATGCTAC